CATAATTTTCCTAACTGTCAAAACTCTCTGTTCATCTTCATTCTAAATAGCTAACTTTCAGAGTTAAAAGGTTAACTTTCACTAATACAGGTTAACATTAATGAATACATGTTAACTTTCAATTAAACATGTTAAGTTATCAGGTTTCAATGTTAACTTTTATGTTTACATGTTAATTTTCACTAAATCCTGTTAACATTCAATCTTGAACATGTTATCTAATGCCTGTAACCAAAACTATTAATAAATAAAACAAATGTTAAACCATGTATGAACATGCAGCTTACAGGGATAAGTGGCATGCATCCGGGTACGTACATAACCCCTGGCTTCCTCAACCCTTCAACGGCAATTTGAATGCCTCTCTTCGTCTCGTCAAAAATAAATTTGCCCCAGGCAATGCTCTTCACTCTCTCAATACTATCAATATATTGAAACAACAATCTTGGGATGCCTTGCGAGCTGTTCGGGCACCAAATCATTTTACTTCTCCAAGAAGAGCGTTAGCCTCCTTCTTGCTGGGCTTCCTTAGAGGGTATTTCTCACCCCATGGGCTGCTGTTTGAAATTGGTTTATCCTTAATCTTAATGTTTGCTTTTTTTTTGCCTTGGAGACAATTGTCTCCCTCCTCATCGATCCAGTTGTCCCTCCGACTCTTACCTAATTGGTCAACGGAGGCTTCCATCTCAAGTTTAGGGCTGCTTTTTTAATCCCTGTCATCTCATAGTACCATAGCTGTCAAAATAGAAGCAACAAATATTTGTCATAATTTTCCTAACTGTCAAAACTCTCTGTTCATCTTCATTCTAAATAGCTAACTTTCAGAGTTAAAAGGTTAACTTTCACTAATACAGGTTAACATTAATGAATACATGTTAACTTTCAATTAAACATGTTAAGTTATCAGGTTTCAATGTTAACTTTTATGTTTACATGTTAATTTTCACTAAATCCTGTTAACATTCAATCTTGAACATGTTATCTAATGCCTGTAACCAAAACTATTAATAAATAAAACAAATGTTAAACCATGTATGAACATGCAGCTTACAGGGATAAGTGGCATGCATCCGGGTACGTACATAACCCCTGGCTTCCTCAACCCTTCAACGGCAATTTGAATGCCTCTCTTCGTCTCGTCAAAAATAAATTTGCCCCAGGCAATGCTCTTCACTCTCTCAATACTATCAATATATTGAAACAACAATCTTGGGATGCCTTGCGAGCTGTTCGGGCACCAAATCATTGAACACTGGTACAAAATCTGAAGAAGCACAAAATCCTCAATGTCCTTATTATCACTTGACTCAACAAGTGACTCTAGTAACTCTTCAACATATTTCCTCATGCTACTAGCTTCTTCTGTAGCCCTGGTCTTTGCCTTTGCCTTGTCCTTCAACATTTCTTTCTTATCTTCAAAGAACTTCCTCCAAAGCCAGTTGTGAGGGTCTCTATTCCCATAGATCAACTCCCCATCAATAGGGAAGCCCGTGTGGGTTTGCACCCACTCTTCATCAAATTTGACTGAAACTAGAGACCCTATTTGGGCATCGGGAAAAAATTTTTTATCAGTTTCGGCATCATAATGACTGAGCATATGCTCTAGTACCCGTCGATCACGTGCTGGAGGTCCGAAGAATACATAATGCTCAAAGTTAGTACCCTTGTAGGCATCCCAATGCCACTTCTTCATTTTTGGTTGAAGTTTTTGCATGAATATACAATACGATCCAAAACATGCACTAGGCCTTATATCACCTACATCATCAACTTTCCTGCATAAACAACAAATCGTTCAAATTCAAATTAGGTAACAGTTAACAATAATGCATTAACTAAGTACAAGTTAATATTTATTAACATGAATAGCTAATAGTTAACACTTAAGGGTAAACGTCCACAACATATGAGAATTATTGACATTCATTGCTCCAAAAGTAATAACCTGGTTCTACACTACAATAACTAGTTTCTGACCAATATTTTCTCATAAACAGAACCAATAAACCTCAATTAAATACAAATCACTCAATTAAATTAAGTAAATTCAAAATCACGTAATTTATTAGGAATTTACTTCTTCTTTGAGGTGAACGCTTCTTTCGCTGAGCGTTTCCTCTTCCCCTCTCGATTTTCCAGTACCCTTTTCATGCTCAAAAGGATTTCCGTCGCCTCATTACTCTCCTCCTCCTCAAAGGATGTCGGAGGAGAACCACCGGCGGGAGATATGAAGGCATAGGCGGAGGCGGAGGCGGATAACATTGGCATTTCCTCCTTCGCCAATCGCGCCGAGTGTCGCCGGTGACGAAGCACTTCTGTCTGCGTTTTGTCTCCTTCACCCTTCTCTTCCACAGGCTTCTTTTTCTTAAATTTTTTGGGCATTTTTCTGTGTGGTTTTCTTGGACGCTTGAGTGAATTAGGGTTTTCAAAATGGGTCTCGAGATGAGCTTGGTTTGCGGAGAGAGAAGAGGGAGAGAGAGAGAGAGAGAGAGAGAGAGAGAGAGAGAGAGAGAGAGAGAGAGAACCTGGTTTTGGGAGGAACAAGGGAAAAGGGCAGTTTTGGGTTTTCGTCTTTTTTTTCTCTCTGTGCGGTCTGGGAAACGTAAAAAGGGCTGAAACATAAGAATGTTGGGTATTAGGGGTTTTGACACCCAAAAAATAATACAGGGGGCCTACTCACATCCCCTTTAATATTTTGGGGCCTAGATACAATTTTCCCTAATATAAATGGTTTAACCATTTCAATAATGTTATTTAAACTAATGATTACACTATTATTTAATAATTATACTCTTAAATAAATTGTTTAATAACATAATAATAAGTAAATTTAAATAATTATTAAATGTATGTTAATAATAGTATAAGTACTAATCATAGTATAACTTGAATTTTTTAATCATAGTGTAATAAAGTAACTCTGTAAAATGTTTGTATATAATTTATTAAATAATATAGTATTAAATAAAAAAATATTCATGTGCAAAACTTGTGCATTATACCAGTGTAAATAAAGCCGAAGGAAAGCTTTTCCATTTTGGGGACTACACAGTGAATGAAACCAAAAGCTGCCACCGCATACCCGTATGGCCGTATGGACAGTATCGGGGACGAGGGATGAGCTATAAATGGAAAGTATTTTTTCTTGAGGACAAGTCCGTGTATACGTAAGTACTTTAGTTTCCGATCAGATTTTGTTGTGCTATAAATGGATTGGCGTTAATATTTTCCATAAGGTACCATTTGGCAAAAAGTCAAGTGAGAGGTTAAGGAGACTTAATCCCTTTTTAACCCGCCAACCACAAAAAATTTATACAATGGTTAAAATGAGTTAACCCTCTATAATTTGTCAAACACAAAAAATATAAAAGGGTTAAGCTAACCCCTTTAGAGGGATTAAAATGAGTTAACCCCTCAAAATGAAGGGTTTATTAATACTCCTATTTAGAAGAATTAAGAGTTAACCCTTCTAATTATAAAGAAAATAGTCAAAATCATTGTTATTCCCAAACACTAAAATTGATCACAAGGGCTAAAATAAAACTTATTTAACAATAGTCAAAATCATTGTTATTCCCAAACACTAAAATTGATCACAAGGGCTAAAATAAAACTTATTTAACGGGTTAATAATTTAGTCTTTCAGATTATCGAATGAGCTAAGTACATCAATCATTCTATTTAACCTCTCTTCCTTATCCCTTTGCCAAACGGGGCCTAATTGATTTATTTTGTGGTATTAATAAAAATAAAGATTAAATGATATCTGTGTGGATTCGGATTCTCCCAATGTGGTAATTAGAGAATGTTTAATTACCCTAACATTTACCCTCTTTTTCAAATTCAAGGAGTGAGACGAATCTATTATGTTTTGAATATTATCTTAAAAATCACAATTATCTCAAAAATCACTATTGTGAAAATTATTATTGTGATAGTGTAAATTCTATGTAGCTTTATCACAACCCCTTGAGATTAAAATAAAAGGTAAAGATTATGGTGATTACACACTCTCCACCTACCTAGTTGGCGAGCTCCTTTCTTTTAGTGGGTGTTTGTTTGCATGCAAGTGAAAGATGAAAGTGAGAAAGTTATTTTCATTTAACAATTAAGATGTTTGTTTTCATGTAAGTGGTTATGAAAGTGAGATGCAAGAAAGTTGCCACATATGATTTAATACAATTTTGACTTCCCCTAAAAAAATGGTGAAGTCACATAAAAGTGACAAAAAGGTAACTAATTTAATTAAATAATTTTAATTATACTTTCTAATTAATCTTATTTTGTCACGTCATCTTTACATTGCACTTTCGATAATAATTTAATTTTTCCAAACAAACATTGTATTTCGCTTGCGTGCTGACATAGATGTAAAAGTCATTTGCAAAAAAAAGTAACTTATATATTTTAAATTCACTTTCAGATTGTCAAACATCCCCATCTAAAAAACAAAGGTTAAAAAAATACTTAAAGGAAATATAGCATGATCGATATTACACGTAGGCTAAATATCATAACCCCCACCCCCACAGCAACTTTGGACAATTATGAGAAAACGCCCTTGACTTTCAAAATATCAAAAACACTCCTTCAATTAGGGGTTAACAAAAATCCTCTTTTAACTTTAAAATTTTATAATTTTTTTCTTATAAATTTCCAAGCTAAAGGGGTTTTGTTGATAAAATCTGCAAGTTAAAGAGGGCATTGTGATAATCTTTATAGTTAATGGGTTTTTTTTTTCAATATTTGGAGGTTATGGCGGTTTTCCAGCAATTGTCCAAGGTTGAGCGGGGTTTTCTGATATTTACCCACATATGTATTCTTCTGATTCAAACAGCTAGATATCACCATTATTCTCATCAATGTTCTAGCAGCTGTTCGAGAATAGGGTGCTCGATGACGTGTCGGTTGCTGAAGCAAATATAATAGAAACTTGAATCCAGGTTACATAAATAAAAATAAAAATAAAAATAAATGAAAAATGAAAAAACAAAACAAAATTCAAAAAGCAAACACAACATAAACCACCAGCAGCAAGACTCTGCTGAGGTTAATATTTCCATTATGTTGCAGATACATCACAGGTTCTATCGTTACATGATCTTTTACCAGTAACTCCCACACTGGACCAAACTTTTATTCGTTCCAAGCTTAAACCAAATACACCAGACTCTTAACCTAGCTCCCGCGATATGTAGAAAACGAGAAGGGCGAAAGAAGCAGAGGCACATGGAAATGCTCTGATTTCTGCGACTCCTTGACCTCAAACACAACACTAACATAAGGGAAGAATCCTGAGGTATTGTACATACCCGTATTAAAACTAATACGGTAAAACCCTGGTGTGACGAAATCTGTAATATCCAATAAATTACCACTCCGACCATCAGTGTTTGTGACTGAAGATCCTAGAAGCACCCATCCAGTGGAATCTCGCTCTGTGAATGAAGGAGCTCTGTGTGTTTCCTTCCACATCTCAAGGTGAACCTCGAGGCCTGGTGCTGGATACCCACGAGCAACATCCAAGACATGGGTTGTGATGGGAGGGCGAGTTCGGCTGGTGCTGACTGAAATTTCAGGAGCTTTATCTGTAGAGGCCTTAGCATCAGCATTAAGATGTGCTGCAATTATGCCTATACGAGCTTTTTCCGTTAAGAGAAATGTCATGTCAGGACTAAATATACTAAGCAAATATGGAAATGAGAAGAAAGAGTATTTGGTATAAGAGCACGAAATAAATAAAATTCAGACTCATAAGAGAATTTAAACAGAAACTTTGACATAGATTTCAAGATCATGGAAGTAAAAATTAATCCGTAATAAACTGAAGAGTAAAAATGTGTATCCTAGAAATTTAATTTCAAGACTTTGCACAAGTTGTTGCTGCTAAAAGTAAAAACAAGAAATAAATATATACTTTTGTGTTCCAATACGGGAAATGACATTCCAGCGGCTTTTGGCTTATTCTGTGACTTGCAAATGAAAGCTATTTCCTACCCAATCTT